GTCCGCTAAACGTCCGGGTCGACTGGCTCAGACATTTGGGTTCTCACATGCAGCTCGTCTGGGTAATGTTTAGAGAATTTCAGGGTTTCATTGCATGTCTGGAAAGGGCTTAAGAGACTTGCTTGTCACCAACTGAGATGTATGTTTTGACATCAGAAGAGCTGTAGATGTTGAACAAAGCATGCTTATTATTTTAAGTTTGCTAAATTAAATGTGCACTTTTGCTGTTTCCCCAAAAAGAGGTGTTTCAATAAATTGTTTTTTGCTGCAAGGAATGGCCTTTTGATGAGTCATCAAAATGTAAATTTGTTTTATTGATGATCAGTGAAAGCAAACTGTGGCTTGAAAGGTGCAAACAGGAACCTTCAGGTTGAACTTTCCTGCAGGTAATGAAGTCCATCTTAACACTGGACACAACGCTCATAAAGAAGTGCATTAGAGGGCCATTCTGCTCATGTTGCATACACACGTTTAGCTGATTGTACAGCCCTGTGTTGAGGTAGTGGAGCAGCAGGAACAGGTGTGTGTGTGTGTGTGTGTGTTTGCAGTGTTTCTCAGTCAGTGATACGACAGGTACGCTTTTAACTTGTGATAAGATGAGATCATAAAGGATGACGACCTCCGTAGAAATCAACACAGATAGCTGACTTCAAGATTTTTGTGATTTTTAAAGAAAATATTTAGTCACAGCTTGTATCCTTTTTTTAATGTACAAATTCATAACCTTAGATCCACAGACAGAGCTCATGATTGTTTCCAGGTCTGGATTCAAGTTGGACAGTGATCGACCATTTGCACTCAGGGGCCCTAAACAGACAGTAATTTACTCTGTGCAAAGCACTTTGTGACTCATTATACAAATAAAGTGTATGTGAGCTTGCCGTTAACTTTACAACTGACATGTTTATAAAATGGTGCCTGTTTTTGCTTGTTATCCCTACGTGTGTGCGTGTGCATGGTAGAGACAGATCCATCTGAATCTTTATTTCCCCGGGCTCTCTCTGTTCCACTCAATACACATGTAGATAATCGATACTGATGCATGTGTTCCTCGAGCTTTGCAAAAGCAGCTTGGTGAGTCAGGACTGGGTGTCTTTGTCCCTGCCTTAAAGTGGCCATGGCTGCTCATTTTGCTCGTTTCCAGCCAATTAATTTTTAATCTTCAGAACCTCTAGATTAGCTCTGCACCCATCATTAATCCAAATAGTCTGTAATTATTTCAGAAAGATAAAACCTGACTATAGCTATAGTTACGATATACATATGCATCACAGAGTGTTTAAGGACCTATGTCATGTTTTGTTGTAAAGGAGATTGTTTTCTTGGGATAGCTGGTGCTGCTGTGCCACAGTTTAAACTAGACCACTGCAGAAATGAAAGAAAACAAAAAGCTGGTGTTGCGTTATGGTGCAGAACTTTTGTTTTTTTCTTGTCTAATAATGTCAGATTTAAGTTTGCAAGGATGAAACGGAGCAGGGAGGACATCTACAGCTGGACATTAGATGAAATGTTTGTTTGGAGTCAACTGTGCAATCCGTTATCTTGGAGTTGAGCAGGTACCTTTGTGTGTGCTTTTCTCAGTGTTTGTGAGAGGGACAGTAGCGGACATTAGTGGATTTGTGGCTGTGTGACTCCTCTGCTGTAGGACGGCTGAACCTGCTGCTGACTGGTTGATACCATCATCCTGTGAGGATGCCGTTTTGCTGTGTGCTCGTCTTACGATACAGAAGTGATATGATGTTTAGCAGATTACTGCCTTGCACAGTGCTTTGGTTGTATTTCTTGGTGGTGAAGGATAGTAGCACCTGGTTGGATGTGGTGGCTCTGATGTGGCTGTTAGAGGAACTTCCTGTCTCCTCTGTTCAGCTTTGTACTGGACTGGACACACAGACAAACGCAACAATATGATGCTATTATGAGAAGAATATCCTAAGCTTACTGTTGAATAGCTACATGGAATGTTATATATTAAAGTTAATATAACACTGGCTACACCACAGCACCAGCTAAATAAGTTACTAGCCTATAAGAATGTTTTGAGGTCTTATTAGAAATTACGTGTTGAATGTAGTACTTTAAGCAGTACAGTATTTTCAGGTTATTTTAAGTTACTAAACTGTACCACATTCTGTATGTTCTACATCCAGAGTGAGATATAAAATGATCAGCTGAAAACTGGGTTCTCTTTATGATTCTATGGGTTTCTGTGCTTTGTTTAGAAACATTATTGATTAGGATTTTTTTTTAGCTATTCAGAGACTGGGCAGGAGGGCCCACTGACAAAGGACCCCCTCCTCTGTCATTGGCTGGAGGGGGCGGAGCACCAGGCGTTGCTGCAGGGAGGAGAGAGAGCTGATCAGTGGGTGGTAAGAGAGGAGATGATGGGGGGGGATGAGCTGAGTACAGCAGGAAGCTGCTAGTGTGACGCGGGCAGAACATTAGTCCGACTGCACATCAGACACATGTTCTGTCCAACACTGTTTATTTAGAGGTTTTTTTTTTCCTTGTACTTGACAAATTAGGATGAGACCGGACAACAGTTGAAATGTCTTTTTTTTATTTTTTTTTATCCTGTCTATAACAGTTACGTTGACTGGCACAGCACTGGAAATTCAGACAGCCTTTTTTGTCTCGTTGTGGGCCGTGTGCTCTGCAGTAGTTAAAACCAAAGTGCACAACACTGTGAGCACTGAGGGGGGAATAAATTGGCTGCAGATAAACATTTAAAAATACCTCATTAACCCTCCAACTGCCTGACGTCAAGAGAATAAGATTCGCTGCATGTTTGGAAAAACCCTGTGCCAAGTCAAATTGATTTCTTGCTGGTGATCAGTATTTTGACTAAATTCATGTTGATTAATGTAAAATACTTTACAGTACTGACGTGTACAGACAGAAGGCCTTTGGTTTTTAAGTTACTTTATAGTTTCTAGTCAAAACTAAAGAGTTAGAATTGTTAAAAAATGTAGTCGTGACATTGTCTTAAACTAGTAAGTGAAAGCTTTAGTTGACATCTGGCAGATTTCCTCAGCTGTAGTTAAAGAACATTGTGTGATTTGGCAAATGACAAGAAAGAAACTCTTGCTGATGTCTGGTCAATGCGCTGTTTGCTCAGGCAAAGAGTTCAACAGAAGACAGACACACCACTGTGTAACCACATGGTTTAACAAGTTTTTTGTCTACACAAGTGGCCTCAGTGATAGCTGTGGGCTGTAAATGACAGGCAGCTGGCTGACAGCGTTGACTGAACTTTCAGTTACAACTATTTTAATATATTATTATTTTAAGCTTTTATATCTCTGAATCTAGACCTCCTGTATTTAATGCTGTTGGAGAGTAAGGTTAACTGCTCAGACAACTACACTGCAAGGTTGTCAACAACAGCATTAGTAGATCATGTAAGGGTGGAAAATAGAGCAGCAACGACTGAAAAGCTGATTAATTGCTGGTTATTTTTCAAGCAAATGTTAAGTGATAGTTAAAGTTCTCAAATTGAAGAATTGTCTTTTTTTGGTCTTGCATTCTAGTGAATATAATTTTTTTTTTTTTTTTGATATTTTGATTGTTGGTCAGACAAGAGCAGCTATCTGATGATGATACTGGAGTACTGATCTGCAGTTTTCATTGTTTTCTGATGTTTTAGAGACCAAGTGATAGACAAAGATAATTGTTAGTTGTGGTCCAAATGATAAACTTGTCATATACTTATCTTTTTTTTATGTATCCTTTGTCCAATCGTCAGTAATTTGCTAGTAAATGAAGACAAGGTTGTGGATTGTTAAGTGAAAAGCAAGCCAGGCCATTACTGAAGCAACACGTGGGGAAAGGCATGCTAAGACAAAACTCTTCTCTTAAATTCTCATTTGCCTAGTTAGGCAGACAGGAGCTGGTTGAGCTAACCCTGCAGGGGTTCCTCAGACCAAACCTGATAACACTATAGTTTGCATTAAACCGTGACTAGCTGCAAGGTGAAACATTAGCAGTGAACAGGGAGTCATCGTTTTATGATTAATACCTTAAACTGCATGATTTAAATAAAACCATAGTCATTGTTGTTTGTCTATGACTTCCCATAGGGTTTTTCCCCTATAGGAACCTACTAAGGGCTTGAACCTGGAAACAAGACAGTTCTGGGTTCAATCCCAGGATAACCTGGGGCCTTTCTGTGTAGAGTTTGCATGTTCTCCCTGTGCCTGCATGGGCTCTCTACAGGTACTCCAGCTTCCTCCTGCAGTCTAAAGATATGCAACTTAGGTTGATTAGTGACTCTAAATTGCCCGTAGGAATGAGAGTGAGTGTGTGTGGTGGTTTGTCTACATGTCAGCCCTATGATAGACTGGTGATCTGATCCTATTCAGGAATAAGCGGTATAGATAATGGATGGATGGAACCTACTAAAACATCACAAACCATGTAGCACTCATCTCAGCTTCTGCGTTTGTTTCCATTGCCCACTTTAGTTGGTGTGTTCTGGGAGCTAAGCTTTGGAACCCATCATGAGGTAATACTAAAATCCAGTTCCAGCAACACAAGGAGGGAGGGGATGGGTGTGTGCAGAGCTGTCACTAGTGATTGGTTAAATGTTAGCGCCCTCACACCTCAACTATTAGCATCATAAGCATTTTGTGTAAATACCCACACTGATTTAGCTGTCAAATGATCAGGGACTTCACTTGTCGGTTTGAACGGGGACTTCAGCAAATTGATGGTGGGAAAGTGGTGAAGACATCACATTTCTGCTGGTTTGTGTTCTGCTTGTTCAGCAGCTGTCTGAAAACAGTCTCTGTTACTGGCTGACATTTGTGCTATGGAATGGTCCTTATGTCCTCTGCGTTCTCTCTCTCTGCTCAGGTGTGTGTGTGTGAGAGAGGAGCTGCGTCAGCCTGTGAGGTTATGCTGGGTGATAGTTTAAGCAAACAGTAGAAATGCAGCTTCAGTCTCTGCTATTCAGACAGGAACATTTTTTTCCTGTCAGATTTATTCAGTCATTCTACTCAGGAAGCTAACTAAACCAAACCAACTAGAACTGATTTCTCATTGGACTAGTTTAAATTAGATTGGAATCAGTGGAGCGCGCATCTGGGGAAAAAAAAAAAAAAGAACTGGGACTATGCCCCCAGTGAAATGCTAGAACATGAAAATGTGTCAGCGTCCAAATTGATACCAGATTCCTGTAGCAGCTCCTTCTCAAGCAGGTGCTGGTTGCGATTTTTGAGACTTTGCAGGTGTCGTATGAATACATCCTCTGATTGGTCCTGACCTGTGGGAGCCCACCCCCGAGAAAACTCTGAGGTCACTTCCTCCCATTATCACACAGCTATAGACAAATGAAACTTTTTTTTTCCACAGACATACAGCTTTTATAAAATTAATCTTATATTTCCAAGTATACAATAATAAAATGATGCACTCTGCAGAAAACAGGTAACAGGAAACTCCATATATACACATAGTATATTATACTATTTTGGCAGACAAGAACATGGACAAGTTCAATATTGTAAACAGCTTTTTTTCTCTCATTCGTGATGTTTCATCCGCCTTTTTTCCTTCTCGTTCAAATTGTTCCTTACAGTGTGCCCTGTTACATTCATAACTGCAAAAAATTGTGCTTTAAGAAATCTTACAGCAGTCCAGGTGCTCTTTGTCTCCTCAGGTAACGTTTTGGTCCTCTGAGTAGAAGTGCATTGTCTCTGAACAGTAGATCAGTGACTTTATGGGTCACACGGCTGGTAGTTCATGCTCTTCAACCCGCTCAGACAGGAAATGAAAGACAGGGTCAGACAAGAAGAATGGAGGGAGGGGAACAATCCTCTGCAATGAGACTGTGGATGTAAATACTGGGAACGTTAATCAAGAAGATTTATGCTTGGTACAAATTCCCAAAGGTTACTTTTGTTTGATGTTTAGACTCAGATTAGATGTATGGCAAATATTTATAAGGACACTTCTTGCAAAATCTCCCAGCTTTCAGTACAACTTAGAAACATTTAGACAGAGATGTTATGACAGTGATTTTCTAAACTTCTCTAGGCTTGAAACTACCTCCACTGAGTCCTTTGTGTGATCTGAACTTGTTGGATTTGTGTCCTAAAGTAGCAGTGGCATTTTATTGATGATTACAAGGCAGAAGCCTGTGACAGCTGTGCTTGGGATAAAGTAATGTGCTCAATGAAATGGGGAAAAAATGTGTGTGTAGTGCGATGATGCAATAGTGAAGATGGTGGTAAAGGATATAGAGACAAAGAGAGCGTGAGCTTAGGGTTTTGAGCTCAGGAGGCAGAAACAGGGTAGAGGTCTGGATGTGGGTGCCAGGAGAGCACTAAAGCAGGACTGTGGGTCTTTAGATGTCCTCATCGGTGAACTCCTCAGCAGTGGCCCTCTCAGGAATGGCCTCGAGGCTGCGTCTGCTCCTGGACTCTGAGCCAGAGGAGTCGCCGGCTGCTCCGCCTTTAGTCAGGTTACAGGTGAGAGCAGCATAGTGGATCTGCTTGAGGTTCTCCTGGACTTCACTTCTGGCATGCTTCAGTAGGTCAGCCTGGCCCTATAAAGACAGACCACAGTGCCAGAGCAATTAGGGATGGGCTTTGTTAGTTGGTCCTATTTTGGATCCAGTTCCAAGATTGTAAAATATGGAAGTGAATCCCTGCCAAATCATTTGAGAGTTACACTCAGGGGGTTTTGTCATGAGTGTTAGTCTCTACCAATAACCAACTTTGTGTGCTATTCAACTCAGTTTGACTAAATATTATTTATAAAAGGGCTGCACAGTTCAGACCCCTATGTGATCTCAGTCTCATGTAACATCTATTTTGCCATGTTAGTGTTAGAGGGGAGATGCCTTGCATCAAACCAAGTGCTCCCTTTTCCTCGCTAAGCTACGTTAACTAATTACAGGAACACGTTGCTGTGGACGGGAAGAGAAGCCTGATTCAAACACAACGTGTTTGACATGGTGCAAAATGTTCTGTGCCTTCCTGCAGCTATTTTTCAAACATTGTGCTGCCTGCCCTCTACACCTAGTGCCGAACACCAGTTCAGGCAGAAATGCAAGAAATAAATCACTGTGAGGACATTAGTTGCAGGTATTGGTTACCAGACCTTAGTGAGGAAAAAGGAGCGCTATCACTGCCACATGAATCTGAGATTGCATAGGGATCTGAATCACACTTGGAAAATGGAAGTAGTACTCAGATCCTTTAAGTAAAAATAATAATACAACAGTGTAAATATACTGTTACAAGCAAATGTCCTACATTCAAAATGTTACTTAAGTACAAAAGTATTAGTGTCAAAACATACTTAAAGTACTAAAAGTATTCTACATATTTCACATCCCTATCATATTACTGTAGTATACTTAGTGATGCATTGTATATATCACATTTAATGTTAAAGCTGGTAAAAGGGGAGCTAGTTTTACTAGTTTAGATGATTTTTTTTTGTAATTACTGCTGGGTAGCTTGTGAATTTTCCACTATAGATCAGTGAGGTTGCATTGTATTTGTTGTATTAAACTGGTTCTGAAAGGTAACTAGTAACTAAATTTATAAAATAAATGTAGTGGAGTAAAAAGTACAATAGTTTAGTTGAAGTATGAAGCAACATAAAATGAAAAAAACCCAAATATAGATCTCAATTGTACTAAAGTATAGTACTTAAGTAAATCTACTTTTCACCACTGTTTAGAACAGATTAACAAAATGTGTGATTAAATACTCTAATTGACTGAGAGCACTAATAATGAACCATTGGCTTCAAGACCTTTTCTTAAGGAAACGGAATTCACGGCTTTATAAAAGATAATTTCATTATGTTTTTTAATCTTCTGGTTTTTCCCCCTCAAAGTGGGTATGGTGACTATAGCGAGTACCAACTTTACAGTCGCTGCTTCTGTTGTAGAGATTCAGGGAAACCAAAAATGGTGTTAAACAGTGTCACAGGGGCAACAGGTTAGCCTCAGAGAGAGAGAGCTCAGAATGAGCCCCATTCAACAACAGTTATTTTTCCCACTAACCTCTGAGTCAGAAGGACAGTAAATTTAAGGTCTGGGCAGCTAGCTACATAGGAATATACATCTGGGTCAACTTGTTGGCTGACCTGATGACCGGGTGATCATCCTATGTAGTTAGCTGTGATGCTACCCCAAAAGGCTATCTTGTGTTTGCTTTTCGTCTGACCCAGAGATAAATGTGATAAATGATTTGACTGATGTCCTGTTTATTCTGAGCTGTGTTGGAGGCTAATCGACTGCACCGAAAATGCCATTTTACGTGACCATTTGTTTCCCCAAATCTGTATGACAGAGGCAGTGATAGCAACATTAGCACAAGCAATAGACTCACCATACCCACTTTTAGGGGGAACACAGCAGGAAAACAAAAAGTTATCCTTTAAGACCTGTAGAGACTATGGCAGACTAAGAAATTTGTTTAAATCACATATGAGCCTCACATCTGCTGAAGTCCTTATGTAAAAGTGGCAGTGTTACTTGATCAGACCTACTGACATTTCCAACATGGGACAAGTCTGAAATAAATGCTGTCACATTAACCTAAAGGCCACAGCAGCACAAGGTTGAATACAGAGATTAAATGCACATCTTAGGAAGGCTAATAAATTATTCACTTAATTACCGTCTGTTATCCGCAAAAAGAAAAAGTAGGTTCACAGTTTTTCAAGGCTGCTTTAAAACAATTGTCAGGTACCAAATGTTTCCCCTATATGCAAAATTATGAGCACTGCTGCTTAAGTTTTACACAATTTAATTCACAATTAAACATAACCTGGGCAATTTGTGCTTTTTAGACTGTGCACAGTGGGATGGCGCCACAGACTCAGGGCTGTAGTGGAGGCTAAACACACTTGAACTCTGTTTATCCCCCCCAAATTCTGAAAAAGTGTGCAGGCAGACTTAAAACCTGTTAATGCACACTCTCAAGTTTCTTATAAATTTGTTTGTGGAACATTGCATCCTGGCTGCAGGACCACAGTATCATGTCAGCATGGAGAAGGACTTAAACACTAGTTGAGCTGAAGCTAATGGACAGACTGTAAACACTGTATAGGCTGCTTCCATGGAGCAGAGTGTGAATCAGTATTCAGTGGAAGATGGCATCTAAATGGAAAATAGTCATGTCAATTTAAATAGCACAAAGTGGTACAGGACAGGTTTCACCACACGGACTGGAGTATGTTTGCCTCCTGGGATACCCGTGACTCTCACCCAGACACTGACACCTACATACCCTCTGTGCTGGACTTTATTAACACTACCATTGACAGTGTCACAACCCAGAAACAGATCACCACATATCCAAATCAGAAGCCATGGAGGGGCATCAAGAAGGCCATGCACCACTACAAGCTAAAGGTCGAGGAACACTTCACAAACTCTGTCCCCCGATGTATATGGATGGGCATCCAGGTCATCAGTGACTACAAGCCCGGCAACTCCACCCCAACAACCATAGATGTCTCCTTCCGAGCTAAATGACTTCTATGCTCGCTTCGACTCAACAAGGAGATGGCTATCAAGACTAGACCCTCCAGACCAGCACCCACTCACACTCACCTCCATGGATGTGTATGCTGCACTGAGCCAGGTCAATGCACACAAGGCTGCTGGCCCCTGGACATGTATTCAGGGCATGTGCTGGACAGCTTGCTGACATCTTTACGGACATTTTTAACCTGTCCCTTGCCCAAGCAGTTGTGCTGACGTGCTTCAAACACTCCAGTGCCGAAACACTCCACCCCAACGTGCCTGAATGACTACCGCCCTGTAGCTCTCACACACATTGTCATGAAGTGCTTCAAGTGCCTGGTGCTCGGGCACCTGATGACCTGTCTCCCACCCACACTGGACCCCCACCAATTTGCTTACCGCAGAAATAGGAGCACAGAGGATGCAGTCTCCATGCACCTTCAGATCAATGAAAGTATTTAACAACAACTAGCAAACTGCACTGCCACATCTGTGTTTGAAAAATAAATTTTGGTGAAACAGGTGCACCAAAACATAGAAAGAGACAGTCATTCTGGTTTGTTTTCAAGCCATGTGTGCACCTATCTCACAAAAACAGTGCCTGCAATCCATTCTGCTACACAGCTCTAACAGGAACTGTCACATAAGCAGAATAACACAGTAAAAATTCTTACAGCAACTACTGCAAATACTGCTGAGGGCCACTGACCCTGAGCTGACCTTCTCTGATCTTCTGTGTTGCACAGATATCAGAAGCAACACATCTCAGTTACAGTGTGCATTGTGACAGCTGCACTCAGAAAAAAACACAGAAAGCTATTTGAGTAGCACACTTGTACTGCTTTATCTCACCTTCAGTATAGTGATGTTCCACGTGAAGCTCTCCACCGCCTTGTGCAACTTCCTGCCCTTCAGTCCTTCCTTCACGGCCAAGTCATGGAGGTTCTCGTGAAATTCCATGGCTGAGAGAGAGGGAGACAAGAAAGTGTTTAGTTTTATGATTTGAATTCACAGTGGCTTATGAAATAGAAAAGCAGCTGTGAGGTGTGACTGGATGCTAGTCCTGTTGACACTGAGGAAACATAGAGCAAAGGCCTTCACATGTACTGTCAACATTTCACATTGTCCTGCTGCAGAAGTAGACATTCTCCGACTACGGAGGAGGACTCTATCCTCATTGTGCGTCTGTCATGTGATAATGGATCACAGTGGCTGCTATTGCAGGTGTCCTCGTCAGGCCTGAGTTGGCAGACATTAGGTGTGAATTTCTGAATTTGATGACGTGAAGAGGAGAAACTGCATGACTTTTTTTGATAATAGAGGAAATTTGACTATTCATCAAGTGTTGGTTATTTGATAGCCAACACTTCTGTTTCCCTTGGGGCTTCTATGGCACTGCAACGATTAATCAAATCACAAAAAGTTAATCTGCAGCTGTTTTGATAATCAATCATGTTAATTTTTCAAGCTAAAATTCCAAACATTCACTAATTAAAGCTTCTCACATTTGAAGACTGGCTCCTTGTCTTTTTCATAACTGAATATTCGTGGCCTGTCAGTGTCCCCTGTCACTGGTTGCCCAGGTCAAGCCTCTCCTACCAGACACCTGGGCATGCAGTAGGTGAATATCTGAGATGAGAGCCCCTCTCAGGACTAACCCGCACTGCACTACCAGTACCTGGAAAGACTAGATGTGTTTTACATGCAAGTGTTCCAGCAGATACCTTTGCTTGCCTGACGCAACACTGCTGTAACATGCCATGATCACTGTGATCAAAATAAGAGGCTTTGTGATTGTAGGTATTTGTTGTTATCAGTCTTTAGAATAACTTTGACCCTGATTATTTTTTAACCTGAAGGATGCTTTGATTCAGCTGATGTTTGCCTCATCAGTACTTTAACTGTCCTCATACTTCCTCCTATGGACTGTGGGCTAAATGCACGAGCGTTTGAAAAGGAAACATTGTGGGGCAGTTTCTCAGGACAACAGCGGAAGCAAGACGGCACCGTAAGTTCTGTTTACTTTTCATATTGTTCCTAGCAAATGTAACAGTATTAGCTTTATACGGTACAAAGAATGTGTTCTTGTCGGTAATTCTTTTTCTTTTGTTAAATGTTTCTTCCACCTGCAGCACTGCTGCTGTTAAACTACTGTCGGGAGGGCGAGATTGAATATGATGTTTGTACAAACGCAGATACAAATGAAATAGTCCACAGTAACATTACAATTTGTTAAATCTCTTACACATATACACATTTTCTAATTATGCCACTTTTTATCCCGTTGTCTGTTTCAGGACCCCGCGACAAAGCACCGTAGATGACTTTTTCCACAAAAAGAACATGAATCCATGCACACCACAGATGTCTGCTGAGCTTTCTAACAGTATCCTACAAAGGATTATTAAAGACATGAGACCTCTTGCAGTTGTGGAGGGTTAAGGTTTTCGTGAAATGATTAATACATTTCATCCAGGATACAGACTTCCATCCAGGTATTACTTCACAGAGCTGATGGAGAAAAAAATATGAGGCTACAGTTGAGAGAGTGAAAGAAGAAATTAAAAATGCTTCATCAAAAATCACAC